AGCTCCGGGTTACTTTTTAATCGGATACGGGCAGAAATAAAACTACGTTCATACCGGTTTTTACCCCCTACCCCGCAAGGGAAATGCAGAAATTTTGGGAGGCGTTGGTTAACATTTTCTTGTTTCTATTCCTCTCTCCTAAAAAAAGCAGTAATGTGTTTTTTTGGTTTTGCTTTCATCGTCGGTTAAACGCTTTTGTGCGTAATATTAAAAATCTCGGGTTGTGTTTCTTACTCTGAAAAAAGATAGGTGATGTGTTTTCTTTTTCTTTTTTTTTTTTTTTTTCTACCACTCCCATTCCACGGGCTCTGTACTTGGGTGTAATGTTTCATGGGATTGCCATTATTTTCTGTAGGCCGTAAAGAGTGCTGTTTCATCGGGTTTGTATTACACCGTGTGTGATTTATAGGATTTCACGAATAATTTGCTTCTTGGGGTTCCCATTGTAAGTTTAAAGTTGTTTATGTCGTCTTTAGGTGACTTTCCTGTACGTGGGAAGTTATTTAGAATCGTTATAGCAGCCCAATGATGACTCACGTTTCGCTTTTTTTTTTTTTGTGTGTGTGTGTTTTAGGCTGAGTTACAGGAAAACAGTGATTACTCCTGCACACGTCTGTTATAATATTTGTACATTTTTCTGACGTTGGCCAGCCGATAACACGATTGACAGCGTAGTTTCACTACCAAGGGCAGCCGTATTCGCATTAGCGATTTTTTAAAAAATTTTTTTTTGTGTCTGTGTGCTGGGACAGTCTGCGCTCCCGTCGTGGGGCGGCGGTGTTGGTCCGCGATGCCGAGCTCGGTCTCAGCCCAGCGAGATCCGCCCTGCCCTCTGCGCCTGCCCTTACCTCCCTGTCTTGCCTTCTAAGATGATTGACTTGCACTTTGGGCCTTTGAACTTAGCGTAGTGGGGTTATTGTCATTTTTTTCCCATTTGCTTAGGCTCAGGAGGCAAACGTAGGAGTAACTTGTAAGGGCAGTATGTTCATGAAACTGGTAATTTTTTTTTTTTTTTCCTCCGTCGACTTTACAGTGCTGTGTACTTGCCGGTGTTTGCACACAGCATTTCTGAGTTTGAGGTCTGAAACTAGTAAGGCTCAACTCTGCGCGTATGGGTGGTTTTTTTTTTTTTTTTGGAAGTGTATTTGTCATTAAAGGTCAGGTTAGCTTGAGGAAATAACGTTATGTTGGACGAGTGTAATTTATTTGCTTTTAAATTCCTAATCTGAGGGCAGTTGTTGGTGATAACTGATTACTATGAAACCTAGGCAGGTCTTTAAAGATACCCTTTTGTGTAAAGAGGACTAGATACTTATCTCAACAGGGTAATGTAAAAGTTTTTGCCTGCACTTTTAAATTGACAAAATTGGGCGTTACTACTTGAAATTTGCTTTCCAAGATGTATTTTTCGTAATGCAAGACATTCTGCTTGCTGTTGTTGTGACAGAACTCCTTGGCTGTTACAACTGTAGGACAAATGAGGGACATGCAGTACTCCAGACCACAAGCTTCAGTCATACAAGATGAGGTTAAAAGCATTACAAATTCGAACTGTTTTAAAAAGAGCTTGCCTAGTAATTAAAATTTTTGGTTTTTTTTACATCTTCTCTGTGTACGCTTGCTGGTGGCTCTTTATACATACAGCATTCCAGTTCAAAGCGTATTATATGTATTATATTAGTTGCAACAGCACGAGATCTTGGATGTTTTGCATATGATCAGTTCCAGTGTTCCTGGCTATGGTGGTGACTGTCAGCATTTGCTGCTTCAAAAAGAAAATTAAAAATATTCTGGAAAACTGTGGTTTGCATCTTACTTGCATATTTTATCTTACGCAAGCAAAGGTGTTACACATTTAAATGTTAGATCTGAGTTTGTTATTAAACTCAGGGCCTGAATGATATCATAAGATGATGAATGCCACAGGCTTACATGTATTCTCAAGAAAAATATTAAAGTAATCTTTAGTGTTGATTACTGCATTTTTAATAATTTGTTGGTTACCCTTTCCTCTGCTGAGGAATGGCTGTGTAGAGCACTTAGACAATTGTGCTTACCATCTCTTTCTTCTTATATATTGCTAAAGGTCTTGCAGGTCTTCAAAGTCCCGAAGTAATTAATCCCTCCCTGTTGACATGGCTGTTTAATTGAGCAGTGATAATGGCTGGTGACTGGCTTATTTATCAGAACTGCTGAGCTAGATGAATTGGAGTGACAAGTGGGGAATGCTGGAGGAAGTTGTGAGGGGGAGCATTATTTTCCACTGTAGGTGACTGGTATGGATAATGAGGGAATAACTAACATAACTTGCGTTGGATGTGCTCTATCCTTTCCGTGTGAGCCCAGTTCTTACATGCAGTGCACTCTGCTGACCATACTGAAAGAGAAGATGTGTGATCTGGGAGCACTAGGCTCACCTCTGTGCTGTGCATGAGAAGAGAAAAATCTCTATGAAATGCCACCCTCGAAAGTTTCTGCCTCTCATAACCAGAAGGGAAAGGACCTGGAGGGAATAGGAGGGTCAATTTGGCAGACTTAGTAACAAGTGGGGGAAAAAGAGAATAGGTGGTCAGTAAACAAGTATGGACTTTTTATCAGCAAGGTTGAATTAACTTGTTTCAAAAAGATTATGGCCGTCTAAATAGTGCTTTGGCTTTTCTGAAGTTTGTGGCTATTTATAGTGGTTTAATAAAAAATCTGGCAGTTCCAAACTAAGAAAGCAGATAGGAAAATTTCCAAGTTCGTCTAGCTCATTGAAGTGGAAAATGCAATTACCAGTTTGAGTTACTGATAAATCAGGAAGGTGGGATTAAGAATGTGTTGACTCATCTGCAAATGGTGCAGAGTTCTAGTGAAAGTTGCTTGCAGAAGATGGGGAGTGACTGAGAGAGAGGGGTGAGTCATCTTTAAAGGCTGACCTTAATGGTGTATTATGGGGACTTCAGTTACGATGTCTGTGCAGTCAGTGATAAATTAGCTTCCAAAGACTGTTGAAAACTTTGCCACACCAGGGAGTAACCAGAAGATGTGCATAATTTAAGCTTTTATTTTGGATCTTGTTAGAATGAAAGAGTTGCTCACTGAAATGAAAATTCTTTGCTTGGTGTCCTGGTACCGTGATGTGGTTTTTTTCATATTGGTTGGGACTGACCTCTCTCTTCCTACAGTATATACAGTTTTGGGGTGGGGGGTTTTTTTGTTTATGTTTTCCAAAAAATGACTGTTTTCCCAAGGCTGGGAGGAGCAGTGGAGGGGAAAAAAAGTAAGAGCAGTGAATTCTGAAATCTTTTTAAGGAGCAGGTAAACTGGATGCAAAGCATTAAAAGTTGGGTGATGGTTTTATTCTGCTGATATTTGTTCTTCTCAAACTCTGAAATATTTGGCAATCTCAGAAAATTGGAACAGTGCTAATGTTTGAGTTCAGACTCTCAGGTGAACTTCAAGCAGTAAATTAATCTGATAGTTATTTACTGGCTTTACTGGACTAACCTGGACATTCATCTATGTATATGTGAGTTTTAGTTAATGCATCTCCATCTATGTCTTTTGTATTCGATTGTCACTTGAAATAATTACAAGATTATCTAACTTTGTACAGTCTGGTGGCTCAAACTGTTCTGTCTCTGACTCAAGTTATCTGGAAATCTGCTTTGAACTTCTGCTAAAGACATGTGGGATGGAGAAATACTACTTTTCAAGTGGAGCTTTGCAAGTCTACTCTTGGCTGTTAATATATTGTGGGTTTCTTTAAGCCCACCAAAATTGAATAGTTACTCTTAATATCTATTTTTTTGAGCAACCATCTTTTGGTTCTTTATGCAAATCACACCTGATCAGAAGTAATAAAAACCTATGACTAAAATTCTGGTAGTTTCTTAAGGTAATTTTATGTGAGAAGACTAATCAGTAATGCTTGTGACTGTGAGTCATCTTTGGATTTCTTACCTTTGTAGTTGATATTTTAACTTGTTTTACTCCTCAACTGCAGTAGGAAAATAATTAATAATCGCTGTTTTTATGTCAGAGCAGCAGATTGTTTGCCATGCAAAGAAAACATTGGATTTCACGCTGTTTCTGATAGTGTGGATAATCTGTTTCTTTTAGGCAAATCCTTGGAGTTATCTTTTATTCTGTGCTTGCTGTAGAGTGAGATTTTTCTTAGCTTTGTTTTTCTCAACACCAAATACTGAAACATACTAAAATACCAGTAATGTTATTGTTGCATTTTTCTATTTCCTTGGCTTGGCAAGTATTTATTTTGGTTTGTGTTTAGTTCAACAAAAGGCCAGCAGGAGGAGCTTTCAGTTTCCAGAAAGGAAGGGAAGATTTGAACTGTAATTTTGCAAATAGTTAAGACAAGTGGTTAGGACGTTTGTCCGAAGTCCTTGCAAAGAGGCAGCAGCACTTATAACTTCATTGACTGCATGCAAGTGTGTGAGGTGGAAGCTAGAATTTAAAATTATTTGAAGAAAATGCAGACACTGAGATCGGGGTGGGGGGGATGGAAAGTTCAGAAATAAAAAATGTAAAGTCCTACATTTCAGTAAGAATAACCGAATGCACAAATGCAGGATGTGGGGCATATGACTGAGTAGCCATCCTTAGGAAGTATTGTGTGGGTTATTTTGGATTTGAGCACAACCCAACATACACAACACAAAAGGCAAATGCTGTAGTGAATTGTAGGACTGTAACCCACAGGACAGAAAAAAATAAAACAGGACCCACCTCAGCCTTTATTTTTCAGTTACTGTGTAGATCCTGGTATTTCCTTAGTCTTTGTTAGCAAATTTTGGCAAATTCTGCCTTTGGCAGAAGGGGCGGGCAGCTCAGGAGGAGTACAGGGATCTTGTTAGGTCCTGCAGGGAGGAAATTAGAAAGGCAAAAGCCCAGCTAAGTCACCATCCCTGGAGGCGTTTAAAAAACGGGTA